TGTCTCAGGCGAGATTCCGTTTAACGCACCCTTTCAGCGTCTCCGTAGGATGCTGTTACTCGTCCGGAGTAGCAGCGAGATTCTGTCCGCCACAGCTCACCTCAGTGGAAATGTTATAATCCCATGAAACTCGGAAGAGCTTTTTGTCATGTCAGAATCATCCCGTCTCTAACAGAACTACTCCAGCAACTTCAGAACTCCAGCAGTCTGAAAACTCATGAAGTCTCCGTAAACTCTCTCTCCGTAACTCTGGGAACTCTGAGTAGACCAGGAAGTACTGACATTTTAAAGACTCTTTCCCGGTTCACTTTTGGGATTTTTCATTGGTCAGAAACGACCAGAAGGGGTGTGTTTTTGTGACGTGAGAGGTTAGACGCAGCGAGAATTGTTATGAGACAGCTCAGAAATGTTCTCACAGACCGAGAGGGTTCTGTTTTGGCGTGAAAAAGAAACAGGTGCAAAACATCTCTATTTACGTCTGAGAGGATTCTAAAACATGACAGTTTTAACATAACAACTTGTTTTTCGTTTGAGTCCAACCTTGGAACGCACACACTTGCTCATTCAAAAGCAGAAATCAGAAAAATGCATAATTACTCTGCAACAGCTTTTAACATGAGAATAAAAATCATTACTCAGTTAATAAAATTGATTAGTTCACTGCAACATCTAAAATGGTTTGAACTAAGACACTTTGATTATCAACATTTGTAAGATAGTAATGATAATAAAAAGAGAGTGTTCTTTTCACTTGAATCTTCAAGAAAGAAAGTCTCAGGATGGGTGAACCTGTATTTATGTATTCAAATACATGAAATGACAGTTCTTGTCCCACAAGGTTCTAAAGGTCAAGAGTTTTGACCTCAGACTTAGTTTCGACGTAGGCCTTGGTCCACTACACACATCAACAGCACATCTAGGGGTGGGGATGTATGTGTCGGGGTCTTATTTTTATTTATTTATTATTATTATTTTTTTTCTCCTCTTCCTACCCACCTAGTTCCCTGACTGCCATTCCGGGGGTGGGGTCCGGGAGAAGGGCAGGCCGTCGGGTGTTGACCAGGACTATGTGGGGGTTCAGGGTCTGGGGGTTGCCATGGGCGGTGCTGGCGCTGTGCTCTCCCTGGGGTTGTTTGGATCCCCTGAGCTTGGCTCTTGGGTGCCATGGTTGGCCCGCTGGCCGGGGTGGCTGCCGGGGCCTGGCGGGCGGTCGGCTGGGGGTGCGTGCTTGGTTGTTGGCGGTGTGTGGGGGTGGTCGGTGGCGTGTCCTCTTCATGGTGGGGGGGTGTCCTGTCGGCGGGGCATGGCCTGGGCCGGGTCTGGGGTATTGGCTCTTCTCCGCTCAAGAATGAATGGGTTTACCTCCTGGGTTTGGGCATGGGCTGCCCCCTGTAGAGGGCGGGTACATGTCTTGGACCTGGGGGGTATAGAGTGTGTATCGGGAATAAGAATGAAATGTATCGTTATTGTATGTATTTGAGTGAATGAATGTGAGATTGAGGTTGGGATAGTGTGATTGTGTCTGTGTATGAATGGGTATTTGTTAGGCCGAGACTCGGACTGCCCCCTCTTTGATACAACTGGGGGTGCTTGGCATCGCGCCCCTATCGCACGGCCCCCTGGTGGGGTGTGCCCTTGCCTGCCGGTGCGCTTGGGGCCCTTGGTATCGGGGGCTGGGCGCTTGGGCGTGTGTCGGCTCGGCCTGGTGTCTGCCTGGTGGGGCTCGGGTCCTCTGGCCCTGTCAGGCCTTGGCCTGGGTGGTGTGAGTCCTCGGTGCCCGGGCCTCGGTGCCTGGACCTGGACCTACATCGGTGCGACGGGTGCCGACGGAGGCCTATGAGTTTGTCGCTGTTGGCCCCGGGGGGTCACTGTATGTGGTTGCTGGTGGGGATCTTCCGGTTCTCCCCTGTGGTCCGTTCTGGGGGGTGGGTGAGTGGTTCGTCCTGTGTGGGTGGCTCTGGGGGCTCCGCGGTCGGGGTCCCTCCTGGGGTCTTGGGCTCTGGTCCCCCCTTTTTCGTCTGCCTCTGGTCTTGGGGGTCGGGTCTCTGCTGCTTTACAGTTACTAATAAATGTTCTATTAGAGAAGCCTTATACACTTATGCATGCTCACAACCACACACAAATAGAAGCAGGGATGTTTATGTAGGCTTTATATGTAGATATATAGATATGTATGTGAGTGTATATTCATGTGTATGTATGTATGTATGTATATAGGCGTAGGTATGGGTATATATATTTATGGAAACTTACTGCAAAACCATGAATATTTTAAGTTCTTTATACATATGTATTTTGTTGCTGTGTTTTGTCATGTTCTTTGCAGGTGAACAGACAGTGGCCGGGTGTTTTGACGTGTGCTCTATTTGTATATATTTCTTATATTTTGGAGTCTTACTTTGTCTTTTCTTTCTTCCTATCCTATTAAAAAAAAAAAAAAAAAAAAAAAAAACCTACACTAGAATGTCACTATAATAAATATTTCATAATAATGGTGTGGAGAGGATGGCTGTAAGGGGAGAAGGGAGGCCATCAAATTAGAAAAAAAAACCAACCAAAAAAAAAAAAAAAACCATCAAATCTCTCTCAGGCACCCCCCAATCATCTGACCTCCCATCACAACTTCTCGTTAACTCTGTTCCTGTGTCAAATAAGCACAAGATCCTGAACTGTTTCAACAAACATTTTGTTGCTTCTAGTTCTTTATTTGACACAGTTACTAATGGAAGATCAGCCACTTCACTTAAAAAACAAACTTCTACAAATCAAATCCCTCCTGCAAGTCAATCCTCAGTTAATCACACTTTCTCTTTTTCTCCATTCTCAGTCAGTGAGGTCAATAAACTGTTAAAAGATCTTGATCCTAAAAAATCTGCAGGTCCAGATGAACTTCCACCTCATTTCTTAAGGCTGGCTGCTCATATCATCACAGTCCCTGTGACCCACATCTTCAATCTCTCCATGAGACAAAACTCCATCCAGACACTTGAAAACAGCCTTTGTTCTTCCTTTGCTGGAGGGAGGTGGCCCCACCTCACTGAACAACTATCGACCAATCTCTAAACTCTGCATTTTAGCCATGGTTCTAGAAAAACTGATAAACTCTCAAATCAAAAATGACCTGGACGCATTTAACATCTTACCTCCACATCAATCTGGTTTCAGGAAACAACACAGCACAACTCAAAAAGCGTTCAATACAACAACAACACAGCACAACCACTGCTTCACTGAAGGTTCTTAATGACGTTGTTGAAGCACTGGATGCTAAGGATTATTGTGCTGCACTTTTCTTAGACCGGTCTAAAGCTTTTGACACTGTGGATCATATTCAAAAAGCATTCAATTCAAAAACAACTGGACTTTATTTGTAACAAAAGACGTTTCGCTCCTCATCCGAGGAGCTTTCTCAATTCAAAGAGCAGAGAGTGAGAGGTTCAGGTTATAAGGCTGAGTGAGATAAGACACACACACATATGTAGATTGGCAATTCACACCTAAACACCTTAACAGTAAGAGTCTTTTGTTCCTCTAATTCACAGACGAGGCCCCTCTGTTCCCATTAGGTGTGAAAACCGGCTGGGAATCTGTTTTAAAGTTGCATTATAGGTTTTTGAAAGTGGAAATCTGAAGCCTCCTCCTCTATTAAGAGACAGCTTTTCTCTTTTTACATAAATTGCTTCCTTCACCCCCCTCTCAAACCATCTGTGTTCTCAGTCCAAAATGTGCACATGTTGGTCCTCAAAAGAGTGTCCCTTATCTGTGAGGTGGAGGTGAACAGCTGAGTCTTGTCCAGAGGAGGTGGCTCTCCTGTGTTGAGTCATGCGTCTGTGAAGAGGCTGTTTAGTTTCTCCAATGTAGAGGTCTGGACAGTCCTCGCTGCACTGGACCGCATACACTACACCACTCTGTTTGTGTATGGGTGTTTTGTCCTTAGGGTGGACCAGCCTCTGTCTGAGAGTCCTGCTGGGTTTGAAATGTACTGGGATCTTGTGTTTGTTGAAGATCCTTCTGAATTTCTCTGATACTCCAGCAACATAAGGGATGACAATGTTTTTCCCTCTGTTGTCCTCCTTTTTCTGTTTATTAGTGTGTTTTGTAAATTTCCTCAGACAGACAGAGGCCGGGCCCCCAAAACTGTCTTTCTTCTCTCCCCCTTCTCTTTGTCTTGTTAGGCGGTTTTATCCGTTTCACAGGCCAGAAACTAAAACGGGGTTTTCATCTTCCTGCTGGGTTCAGTATGGTCTCCAGGTTCTATAAGGATCTGCAAACTGCTGTGTTGAACCCACGTGCAGGAAGATGACAAGAGGCTCCAGGTAAAAAGTCCAAAATATTTATTATCCAAAAACAAAGCAAAACACTGACAGGGCAGCTTACTGACAGACAGGGCAGACAGGACGGGAGGCAGAAGACGACACCATGGAAGGACAATCCGGAGACAATGACAAGACACAAGAGAGCTGAATATATACACACACTAATGAGGACAAATGACAGACACTTACAGTGATTAACACTGAGCACAGCTGAGACAAGGGCTGAAGGGCACTGTGAGGTGAATGAAAACATGGGGAAACAAAGAAATGGTAAATGGATTGTACTTATACAGCTCCTTTCTATCTTATCCAGATATTCAAAGCTCTTTACAACAATCTGTGTCTCATTTACCCATTCATACAGCACTCTACTAGATCTCTACAAAGATAACTGAACAAATCATTCTAAAGAGACAAATCAGAGCTTTTATCACACTCATACACCAATAGGACACACATCAGAGGCAACGAGGGGTTCAGTGTCTTGCCCTGAGACAATTCAGCATGTGACTGATGGTGGATTCGAACCCCCAACTCTTGCATTGGAGGACGACTACTCTAACCAGTCTGCCACAGCCGCCCACACAGAAAGACAGGACAAAACCCAGAATGCCCACAAATGTACCATTTATGTTACCAACAAGTGTGTGAGCACTCCTGACTTGTGCTGTCACTGTGACACAGCTTCTGTGGTGGTCTGTACCTGGACATTAAACGAAAACTGCCCTGGCTGCCAAGTGATCTGTACGAGGGCTTCCACATTCAGTCCATCTCTGCTGTGCTCTTCATCTACCTGGGCTGCATCACCAACGCCATCACCTTTGGTGGTCTCCTCGGAGATGCCACTGACAACTACCAGGTAACTGGACACACCCAACATGAAGAAAAAGATGTTTTGTTTCAGATGATGTTCACGTTCATTGCTTTTTGATTTGCTTACTCAGCTGCGTACTTATTGAAGCAGACAAGTTTTTTACACCCAATTCAGCAGAACGACGGAATAACTGTGTAAACTAACACTACCATTAACAACTACTACTACAATATTAAAAATCTTCTTTCTTCTTCTTCACGGCTTTTCCCTCTTCAGGGGTCACCATAGCGAGTCCTCCTCCCCCACCACACTCTGTCCTCTGCATCCTCTGTCCTCACTCCAACTACCTCCATGTCCTCTCTAACTGCATCCATATTTCTCCTCTTTGTCTTTTTCCTGCAGCTGCATTTCTAACATCCTTCTGCCAATATACCCACGGTCCCTTCTCTGGAACCACTGTCCCTCCTCTGGACATGTCCAAACCATCTCACTCTGGCCTCTCTAACTTTATCTCCCTGTTGTTCAACCTGTGCTGTACCTCTAATAATAATAATAATGATGATAATAATAATAATAATAATATAGTAAGTTAACAACAATAACATAATAAAATAACAATAATAAAATATGTTTTCTTACCCTACCCCTAAAATAACAATAATAATAATCCATCCATCCATCCATTTTCTTTACCCGTTTATTCCATTTTGGGTCACGGGGGTCGCCGGTGCCCATGTCCAGCAATCACTGTGCGAGGGGCGGGGGACACCCTGGACGGGTCTCCAGTCCATCACAGGGACACATAGAGACAAACGAGACAAACAACCATTCACTCTCTCACTCACACCTAGGGACAATTTAGAGTTACCAATCAGTCTAACATGCATGTTTTTGGTCTGTGGGAGGAAACTGGAGCACCCGGAGAAAACCCACGGAGAGAACATGCAAACTCCACCCAGAAAGGCCCCTGGACCGGGGTTTGAACCAGGGACCTGCTTGCTGAGAGGCAGCAGCTCTACCAGTTGCGCCACCGTGCTGCCCAATAATAATAATAATATAATAAAAATATAATAATAATAATGATAATAATAATAATGATAATAATAATAACAATATAGTAAGATAACAACAACAACATAATAAAATAACAATAGTAAAATATAATAACAATAATAATAATATAATAAAATATAATAATAATAATTATAATAATATAATAGTAAAAATGTAGTAATAAATATATTAATAATAATTATTATTAGACCTGTATTTATACAGGTTAGTTCCCACTGAGCCTCAAAGACTCATTTAAAAGAGAGACCTGATTACAACACATACAGGCAGATGAGGAAAAAAAGAACACGAGGATGGAGGAAGCCCCAAAAAAATCATGTTTCCCACCATTTCTTGGCTGGAAAACAACATGAAAGATGCAAAAAAAAAGACATTGCAACATAAAGCTGCAATATACAGTACAATGACATTATAATACATTTATGCCTAGAGGTCGAGAAAGCCGGTGAATTATCCATAAACACTCCAAAGTTCCAAAGTTCTGATAAGACGGTACAATGTTTATTAGCATCATGCCCAATAATGGTTAATCAGGTCATCTGAACCGCTACTTTTTTGAGGAAAGATGTTTCGCCATCTTTCTGGAAGGCTTCATCAGTCTGAGGAGTCCCAAGTGGGGGGTGGGGGGATGTTAGCAGAAGCTTCTAGTTTATGTATCCTCAGGAGCAATTTGAGATAAGATGGACTGTCCAAGGCCTGCGGGGAGGCCAAATTCAGATAAACACCAATTGTTTTGGCCAACAGACACTGTTTTCTGTCTGCCTTCAAGTTCTGCTGGTACACTCAATGGCAAATCCAAACAGTCAGAATTAGTGGACATGCCGCCCGGTCCATGCTCAATTTAGCATTCTCCAAGATTGACTCCTTCATGCTGGTGAGTTCCAGGAGCTGCAAGTGGCCTACGATTCTCAGAAATTGCATCCAGCTTGCGGTTGAGCTCGTTAATATGAGTCTGAGTGCTCGAAGAACAAATGAATCCTTCAAGGCTGGCAGCTGCGAGGGTTTGTTCAGGGCATGAGGGCTCTCCAGCACCCTGTCTGTCGTCTGGTGGAAAAAAAATTATCAATTGCGTTGAGGGAGCAGCTGACCAAATCCATAACCATTTCTGATTCAAAAGATGTGTAAAGAGAGGCACTGAGGTTGACAGGACAAGAGAGCAAAAAAAGCAGGAGGGAGGGTAAGAGCAACCATCTTAGTCAAAGGCAAAAGAGAGATTTTAAGAATAATTATCATTATTGTAATTAAAATAATAACAATAATAAATAATAATAATATTAATAATTGCAACAATAATAATTATGATATAATAATAACAAAAACAATTATAATAATTTTTGTTTGTTATTTATTCATTTAGTCATTCATTTAAAAGAAACAAAATAAACAAAACAAGTTCTTCAAAAAGAAAAAAAACATTGAATGAAAAGGGTGAAGAAAGAAGAAAAAAATTCT